CTAAAGTAGAAAGACCCTTGCATGCACGGGTGACCTTTGACCTTGTCAGCGCCATAAAACTATGCAACATTGTCATATACACAACGAAGAAAATAGCGTAAAATCCACGGAGGGCGACCCGTAAACTGAAACAGCGCCTTCAATCGGCTGTAAATGGGCAACTTTACAATTCTTATTAAAGACACATTATTTCTAATCACTACACAAGTAAAGTCGTTTATTATAGAGCGCCTGTTGGTTTTGCTGTAAAAGGATTACTGGAAACACACTTGAAAAAATATGAAAGCACAAATAACATGAATATATGCAAAAAACAGAGTTCACATCAGTTCACTTTGGTAAGATCTGGTGTTTGGTGAGTCGTGGCTGAAGGGCGCTATCTAGATATAAGCGTACTTTCAGCAAAAAGTTTAGGTATAAAGCTAAAAAAGAAGACGAGATAAGAGTTTTGGTGGAATACAAAATACATCAAATCTTATTTCTCAAGGTAAAAACGATGGCGATAGGCTAGGTCGGATGATAAACAGCGAATTGCGAAAGTTGTACGGTATAAGAAGAAACTGATAGAAATCAAAATGACGTAAAAAAAAAAAGATAGAAATGCAAGTGGCCGAAAGATTAGAGCACGAAAAAGGCTCCTAACGAAAACTTACGATTTCCACATAACGAAAAAATAAGTTTAATTTGTACGTCAGGCACGACATTTTTACCCTGTCAGCTCTTACGACAATAACTCTACAGCACTAGCCTTAATTTCAAGGCTGTGCTGTATCAGCGGGCGCGTATCACTGCCAGGGCAACAGCTAGCTTTACCCAGCTCTGCCCCCCCCCCCCCCGGCCCTGTACACACACGGAGAAACCCCAATACGTAGTATGAAACCCGCAGTACATGCACACCAGTATGGAGCCCGTTTCTGGCGAGGGCCCCCTGCTGGAAGATTGTGACATCGGTTCTTCTGAGAGACGTTTTGGATGAATCAGAGATAAAGAAAGTTGAAGAAACCGAACATTTTATTTTGTCCGGATAGGTGCATTGAAAGGACTATATTAAGGTACACTTCATGGCCGGTCGTGTGGCCAATGTGTGGAACGACGAGCAAGCAAATGTGTTTCTTCCTGTCCCTCCAGGGACCAGCTTTAAGTGTGTTGGGCTGGCGGCCGGAGGGTAGGAAATATTCCTGCAGGGATTTCATCCACTCTTATTGTTAGACCAGAGGTTCGGCCCACTGCAGGTCAACAGGCGGAGTACCATTAAGCTGCGACATCGTCGTCAGGGAGACAAAGAAACATAACTGGAGTCAGGGCAGAGTATCAGGGAACTCTCTGCGTTGGCGTATCCCGGATTCTCAGATGAAGGATGGGGCGTACCGACTAGCGAGAGGATTTTCTTGGATTAAGTTGGAAAAAGGGCGATTAGAGAAGCGATTTTCAGGGCCAAACCAACATCCCTGGATGACTCGATTAAGGCATATCTGGCTGCTGAGAGCTACCACTAGGTGGAGGAGCAGAGAGCTGCAGACAAAACAAAGAAGTATGCAAGAATGGTGCAGACAGAACCAATCGTGGAGGTCGAGGCTACGGGAGAGCTAGGTTCCGATTAATCAGGAAGTTGTAGATCGAGCTGTCCAGCAGATAATTTCCCGTCTAGGAGAGAGCGTTCCAAAGGAGACGATACGAGCTTTCGGACGCAGGAAGGCAAACAATGAAGATGTGCCACAATTGAAGGTGCTAAGGACATTTTGCATGAAACTGCAAGAAGCCGAAGGTAACGAGATCAAGGGTGTCTGGAAACGACATGCAGCCGTCTCAGGGACCCGTGGGGTGGCTGGGAGAAGTCAAGGGTCAGGAAAAGTCAAAGGAAGCCACCCCAAGGTGGAAGCGGATCAGCAGATCTTGAGGTGAACACCCACCCCAGTAGCCCGACTTCATTTGGCCGTACAGTACTATTGCAAGCTCTGTAGTACGGCCAGACAGCCAATGCTCCCCTAAACGCTAAACTCTGATTTAGCGATTTTGCTATCAATTTTGATCAAGATTATCTTCTCATCCAGGACATAAATGTCCAAAGTTAAGGTTCCTAGTCGTAGAGGAACTCATACCTTTTCGAAAAAACCGTTCTTTTATCTAAAAATGTTCATCCATCTGGCCAAAAGACGATTTCCAGTCACCATCTCCCACGAATATCGTCCCAAAAATGTTCCTCCATGCGATTTCAAAATGGCGGCCGCGTTGTAATGTATGCATTATGCGGGTGCGCCTGAGCAAGATGATGAATATGCATTGATCAGTTCATGACCTCGTGTTTGTATGGCCAGCCGCCCCGCACGCCTGAAAAACGTCATGAACTAAATGCATATTCATAATCTTGCCCAAGTGCGCCCGCAAAATGCATACATTACAACGCGGCCGCCATTTTGAAATCGCATGGAGGAACATTTTCAGGACGATATTCGTGGGAGATGATGACTGAAAGTCGTCTTTTGGCCAGATGGATGAACATTTTTAGATAAAAGAACGTTTTTTTCGAAAAGGTATGAGTTCCTCTACGACTAGGAACCATAACTTTGGAAATGTCTATCCTGGATGAGAAGATAATCTCGATCAAAATTAGTAGCAAAATCGCTACATCAGAGTTTAGCGTTTAGGGTAGCATTGGCTGTCTGGCCGTACGGCATAGCTTGCGATAGTACTGAACGGCCAGATGCAGTCGGGCTAACCCACCAGGTACCGCCTAGGAGAGATAAACAACTTGCAGGGGAGCTAACCCTTAGGAAATACCCTTTGAGTTGTGGGAATGGAAATTTGCTCTCCTCCGAAGTACCAACGTCACTGTTAAGGGAGACACAGGGAGTGTTTTTTTCGTACCTGGGTCATTCCATGTCAGACCAACGCACTTTTTTACCTCATGTCTTCCGATTTTGATAAAAATTGCTGTGCTTGTAGGTCCTGATGAGCAATGAATGCACACCAATTTTTAGCCCGATCCGACCTACCATGTGGTCAGGGCAGAAACCATAAAAAATGGACATTTTTAGAGTAAAATACCACCCTTTTGGTAGAAATATGTCAAAACCATGTCAATTTTCATCGAATATATGCGAATTTGGTATCAAAATAATAACAATTGCATGCTCAAATCAACTCTTTTGTCAAAATTAAAGTTTGCGAAAAGTAGGTCACGTGACCTTTAATATGTTATTGTGACCTTTGACCCAATTTATGTACTAATGTATCATTCCGAAAATCAACAAAATTAAAATGACTTGATAGAGCATGTCTTCCTCTATCAGAATCCACTAAAAATCAATTGGGGTCTTTAAAATTTACAACTTTATGACTATTTTTGTACAGTTGGTAGGTTACATTTGAGTAAATTTATAGACTTTACATTAGAAATCCACCAACACAACTTACTATTCTGTTCCTAAAGCTACTTAAATTAATCTTGGTTTGGGAATTTCTCATGTTTAGGGCTGGTGAGGTCTAACCAGACTCATAATATAAATTATCAGCAGTGGCGCACCCAGGATTTGGCTTTTTTTTGGGGGGGGGGGGCAGCTCATAGCTTTTTGTTTTCAAATTTCTGTAGAGGATTGAAAAAAAAAATCAAACAAACAAATTGAAAAACCTTCGAGGGGAGTGGGTTCAAGCCCCCCCCCCCCGTGCCACTGATAATTAGTTATTTCACAAGCGCGCTTGGAATATTGGAATATGAAACAATGCAATGCTGCTGTGACCCATATGCCACCCGACGCACTACATTATTCCGTGTTCCACGAGCCATAACGCATTTATCTTTAAGCAAACTTGACGTCGAATGCGTACATTGTACGTGGTGAGGGATGTAGGTGCATAGTGTATTGGACCATTCAGCAGCAAATAAAAAGAACACAATACATACATGTACATGTACATTCGATATCTGGGGTGCAATATAGCTGTGCAATATTATATCAAAGATCACACTGTTGTTGCTATAGATGGACTAATCAGGGTATAGGATTCAAGTTTGCTTGAAGATAATACTCAATATCGCAATCAAAGGTCATGGGCGTCGCCAGGATTTTTTCTAGAGGGGGGCAAAAACATTTTTTGCCAAAAAAGGCTTGTATTTCTCAACACATTCTCGATTTATCAGTTTTAGAGGGGGGCAGGGACATTCCCCCCCCCCCCCAACTCATTAAATTTACACCACTTTGTCTTCGCGCCTCTTTTTCTTTTCTTTTTTTCTTCCTTTTTTTTTTTTTTTTTTTTTTTGCTTTTCCAGGGGGGGGGGGGCAAGTGCCCCCCCTTGCCCCCCCCCCTCGCGACGCCCATGTCAAAGGTACCTTAGTCATTTATCACTGCGCTTCTTGAAATTTAATGAGTCTTACAAATTTCACCTGGATGTGTGTCCGCTGTACTGGGTCCGGGTAAAAGGCATAGAGCTGTTGCGTACCCTAAACAGTAACTGCTGATGACAATCGACTCTCAAGCATTCGACGTCAAGTTTGCTTGAAGATATTTGTTAGCCCACTTGCACTCGTGGAACACGGAATAATGTAGTGTGTCGGGTGGCAAATGGGTCACAGCATCATTGCATTGTTTCATTTTCCAAGCGCGCTCGTGGGATAACTAATTATCAGTGGCACCGGGGGGGGGGGGGGATTTTTGGGTCACTTTTATTTTTAATCTTCTACAGAAATTTGAAAACAAACAAATTATTAGCCCAAAAGCCAAATCCTAGTTGCGCCACTGCTGATAATTTATATTATGAGTCTGGTTAGACCTCACCAGCCCTAAACATGAGAAATTCCCAAACCAAGATTAATATAAGTAGCTTTAGAAACAGAATAGTAAGTTGTGTTGGTGGATTTCTAATGTAAAGTCTATAAATTGACTCATTTGTAACCTACCAACTGAACAAAAATAGTCATAAAGTTGAAAGTTTTAAAGAACCCAATTGATTTTTAGTAGATTCTGATAGAGGAAGACATGCTCTATCAAGTCATGTGGCACTTATGGCTGATGTCCAAGCCATGTTCCATCAGGTCAAAGTCACTCATGAAGAGCGAGATGTCTTGAGATATTCGTGGTGGTCTGATGGTGACAGCTCTCGACAGCCGAGTGTGTATAGGATGACTGTACACTCCTTCGGCGGTACATGGAGTCCAAGCTGTTGCACCTTCGCTCTGCAACGTACCGCTGAGGATAATCGAGCGGACTTCCAACCCGACGCAGTCGACACAGTCATGCGTAAGTTTTACGTAGACGACTGGTTGAAATCTGTCGCCAGTGAAGAGAAAGGAAGTCAGCTGGCACAGGAACTCCAAAGTCTTCTAGCTAGAGGAGGTTTTAGGTTGACAAAGTGGGTAAACAGTAGCCCACAAGTTCTTGCGTCCTTCCCCATGGAAGAGAGAGCGAAGGATGTCAGGGAGCTCGATCTGAACTAAAAATGCAGTGGGACGTTGAACTGGACTGTTTTGGCTATAAAATCAGTCCCAGCGACAAGCCATTGACGCAGAAAGCTAACCTGGGATGAGCCACTTCCATCAGAGCACCGCGACAGTTGGCAACAGTGGAAACAAGCACTACCAGAGATAAAACAGTTCAGGGTGAACAGGAGTATAAAGCCTCATGGTTTTGGAGAGGTAGTTAAATATCAACTGCACCATTTCTCGGATGATTCAGAAGTAGCTTACGGAGCGACAACCTACTTGCGTATGACAAACTTGGAAGGCGACAATCGGTCTTGCCTTCTTTTGGCCAAGTCACATCTAGCCCCCTTAAAAAGATGACCATACCCAGGCTGGAATTGATGGGTGCGACAGTCCGTCAAACGTGATGCTATGGTTCGTAGAGAGTTAGATGTGCCATTAGAGGATTCAGTATTTTGGACGGACAGCACCATAGTACTGCAGTATGGGAAGAATGAGGAGCGACAGTTTTTTACTTTCATGGCAAATAGAGTTGCAGTTATCAACAAAGGGTCGTCACCAAGTCAACGGTATCATGTTGAATCTAGGCTTAATCCTGCCGATGATGTTACAAGAGGACAAACAGCTGAGGAGCTGCTTACTAACAAGCGATGGCTCAATGGACCCGACTTCCTTTGCCTGGAAGATAGTGAATGGCCAAAATCGCCAAGAGTATATTGAGGTATACTGTGAGACATTTATTTCAATCATTTTGTTAGAGTCATTATTGAACTACAATTGCAGGAATGTAGAAGTGTACTGAAGTATGCCTGCAGCTGTTTACCTTAACATTACCTTGAGTGACCAGAGCTGAAGCAAGAAGCCAGTGATTGGCCGAGCTGGTGTCAGAGCGACGAACAAAAGCACCAGTACATTCAGCAATATTTGGACAAAGAAGGAATTCATCTAGAGTGGGACAAGATCAAGAAAAACCCGGGACTGAGGGCCATTGCCAAACTCATGCTTAACAGGTAGGCGAGACATATACATGTATTATTTTTACTCATGCACATTTTACCACGATGTTCATTCGTTTGCGTAGAATACTTTACTTTTCTGGCGACACCTCTCAACCTTCCATAACATTATTTATTTTGTCACGAACAACAATCCAAGGTGTATCTCATTTCAATTTGTTCGAACTCCCCCTGAAAACAATTGCTTTATTAAATAATTTAAGGGAAAACAAAATGTTAACCTTCAAACAGATATACAGAGTGCACATTTGAGTATAAAAAAAAGAAGGTTTTTTAAATTTCCGGAAGAGCTTTTGAATCATTAAGAAATGTGAGAATCGATTATCGTTGTAATTATGGCAACACATAGTCCATGCACGAACAAGCGCAGCTATTATTTACACAAAACGGTAACACTCTTACTTTTAAGAGTGGGCTTGCCCCATATATATTGAATATCAGGTTGAACACAAAAGTCATGTGGTCACATCAATGTAAACTTATAACAATGTTTTGGGTTTTTTTTTTTTTGTCCTGATATACAACCAGTTGTTACTAATGATTTTTTTCTTTTTTCCCCCTCCATTCTTTTAGTTTCTGGGGCAAGTTTGGTCAGAGGCCCAACATGAGCAAGACTACGTACGTGAAGGACCCTACCGAATACTTGGACATGATGACACGCGATGGTCTTGAGATACAGGGCGTGAACTTTGTCAATGACGAGATGGTGGAGGTCCAGTGGCAAAACACAGGAGAGTTCGTGGAGTCATCAGGAAGGACCAATGTGATATTGGCCGCATACACGACCTGCCAGGCTCGTCTTAAACTGTACGAAGTGTTGGAGAAACTCGACCAGCGAGTATTGTATTATGACACCGACAGTGTAATATACGTCAGTCGTGATGGTGAATGGGAGCCCGAAACTGGTGACTTTCTTGGGGAACTAACGAACGAATTAGAATCGGACAATCACATTGTTTCATTTGTATCGGGTGGGCCCAAAAATTATGCTTACAAATTAGCCCGGCCAGACAAGGGCGGTTACCTGACTCACTGTAAGGTGCGAGGTATTACCTTGAATTATAGGAACCAGTTCCTTGTTAATTTTGACACCGTGTCCCAAATGGTACGCAATGAGGGTCCAAAGAGAGTACAGGTGACAGATCCGTACAAAATATCGCGAAACAAGAAAACCATAAACATTGAAACCAAAGAAGCGAAGAAACATTACCAGGTTGTTTACACTAAACGTGTACCCTTGGAGAATTACGACACCATACCTTACGGATATTAATAAACTGTTCACATTGTATGTCATGAAATACCCCAATGGGGTTCAGTTCTGAATCGAAAAGTCGACTTAAATGCGAACGATTTAATAATTTCTCAGCCAAAATAAAACCAGACGGATTTTTCTATAATTATTCGTTGATACACTTTGTTTATTCTGTAGACTTTCACATAATTGTTTCATATGTAGGCTAGAAAATAACGTGTGAATTGGCAGAGTACATGTACATCCTTTTGTTGTTTTTCTGATACTTATTTTTTGTTTTTAAAGGTAGATTGGTTCATAAAACCTTCCTATTATATTTGCTCCAATATACAATGTAATATAATCCTACGCTTTGCTCATTGTATCTATATAAACACGGAGGTGAAATAATATTTAAGATGAATACATGTACGAACATGTATGTGTATACGGATTCGCATCAGATACAAAAAATAATTTGTACGATGGTATTTGTTGTTATGATATTTCGATTGTATACGTCTGAAAATAGACGTTTTATGAAGTTGGTCAAATAGGTCTTAAGAATTACGTTACAGTTAACGTTTGCTTCACACCTGGACCTCTCATACTTCCCACAATGACGTCCACTTTGAACGATAGTTGTTTGATAAGCCGCAACTGAGACGTGCGTGTACATGTATTTGAATTGTGTTTGACTTCAAGTCAATGTAGTGTGCTTATGAATTTGGCTTGCTGTAGTCCTCTTTTTACACGAAAAAAATTCGGAAATTTGTAAAGTTATAATGCTTTGATTAAACTGATTATTAACACGTAGTTAAATTTGATACGTATTGCTGTTGAGTACTCCAATTTGCACGGTTATGAAATAAATGTTTTGAACAAAATAATTTTGTCAAATGCGTATTATTTTGGTTGTTTTTTTTTAACGTTTTTTTGTTGTTGTTTCTTTTTTGGTTATACATGTACATGTACAATGAAAAACAGAGGGCTTCTTGGTTTTAACATAATTTTTACAATGTAATATTCGCAGAGATAAAACGAACTGTCAACACGTACTCTATAAAAGTACATGTGTGTGATTTTTTTACAATTGATCGCGCTATTGAATTCAAATAATGTTGACTATTATGTAGTATATAGCACGTACACACTCTTGGTTCAAACGTCACAATAAACGTGACAGGCAAAATTATAACAAACATTTCTTGCCTAGGCTTAGTTCAGTTGATTTCTTCCTCCGTGGCTGTACAAAATGCACGAGAGTCAACGTTGTAAATGTGTTGAAAAGGAAGTATTGGGATGCATCACTTATACGTAAATAGTTGCTGGGTATTTTATGTATTAATATCGCATTGTATGTTTCATTCATTTTTTGGTTTGTTTACTATTACAAGTATCTCATTAGGCGTACAATGAGTATCTTTATGTATTATGCGGACACGCATTATTTCAATTTTTACTTTCCCTTTAAATATGGTGTACTTGTATCATGGAGCAAGCTTGTATCCAGTACATAGGGGCCTACAATCATACATAAAATCCTACAATACGAAAATACGTTCTTTGATTTTGTTCATTAATATGATTAAATTAATTACAAGCCACATCATGGGTATTTACTGTATACGTATACTATATAAATAATCCCACACAACAAACAATGGTACGTTCCTTTAATTATTTGCATTTACGCAAGCCCCTCCGCCAGTCACACTCCCCCGTGCTGAATGGTAGATTCCCGTTGCTCATTTTATGCTAATGAGGGTCACGTGGGGCCAAATCCGGCTTTCTGATTGGTCGAGAGCCCGTCAAAAACGGGCAGAATTACCTGGTTAGACGGGCTTCACTACTTATATATAAGTGTAAATGGAACTGGTTCAGAGCATTTCGACTAGAATTTTGAGGCAAGAAGGGTTTATGCTTCACTCTGTTATCTCGACCGACAGTAGACCATGACGTGTTTCCTAGTAACACTGACAGTAACACTAACACAGTAGTGTAGTAGTGCGACCAGGAAATGCGGCGTTGACAAAATGCATCTTATTATTAATTCGGATTATTAATTTGTTATTACGGATTATTTAATTCGTTATTACGGATTATTAATTCGTTATTACGGATTATTTAATTCGTTATTACGGATTATTTAATTCGTTATTACGGATTATTTAATTCGTTATTACGGATTATTTAATTCGTTATTACGGAATATTAATTCGTTATTACGGATTAATTAATTCGTTATTACGGATTATTAATTCGTTATGACGGATTATTTAATTTGTTATTACGGATTATTAATTCGTTATAACGGGTTATTAATTCGTTATTACGGATTATTAATTCGCTATTACGGATTATTAATTCGTTTTAACGGATTATTAATTCGTTATTACCGTTATTACGGATTATTAATTCGTTATTACGAAATAAATCTTGTACTCACACATACGTGATCAGTAATGCACTGATAGCTGGATAGGGTTTAATCAAAATGCAAAATTTCGGGAACAAATATCATCGACCCTGATCACAGAATGGCCGGTCTTAAGTTTTGCCCCCCCCCCCCCCCGAAAGGAAAACAAAGAGAAAAAAAGGAAAGAAAAAGAGGCGCGATGTAATATTGCTGTAAATTTAATGGGTTGGAGGGGGGAATGTCCCTGTCCCCTCTAAACAATTATGTTGAGAAATATGTTTTTCCCCCTCTTGGAAAAAAAATGTAATCCGTAATAACGAATTAATAATGATCCGTAATAACGAATTAATAATGCGTAATAACGAATTAATCATCCGTAATAACGAATTAATAATCCGTAATAACGAATGAATAATCATTTATAACGAATTAATAATCCGTAATAACGAATTAGTAATCCGTAATAACGAATTAATAATCCGTAATAACGAATTAAATAATCCGTAATAACGAATTAATAATCCGTAATAACGAATTAAATAATCTGTGACATAATAGGATGGAACGCCGTATTATCGCGGTACTTATCACGTTTCTCGTTCGGATTACAGATTGCCCTCTAACATTCCCGAATTGTCCTGTCTTTTGTGTAGTACTCTTCCTTTTCAAATTGATATAAAAAATCCGACAGCGGTGTGGTTTATTCCGTGTACGATGCCTGTGAAAATAGACATGCTCGGAGTGTGCGAACGGAGGTGGACTATATTATCGCGGTATGCGGGAAGTGGTTTTTATAAAGATCTCAACTTTTTTTTCATAGTTAATGTTTTACCAAAACATCCCCTGAATAAAGTCTGATATTTTCCCCGTAACGTTCAAGTTGATTAAAGACTATATAGCCCTGCAGGATGATTTCTTAAAACCCTGCCTTTCCCCGAAAGGAGAACAAAAATATAGGGGGCGAGTTGACCTGACACCCTTTCATGGGGGGGGGGGGGCATTTTTAAAGGATTCACTGTCTCCTTCGAAATGAAATTGGAAAATCACACCAAAATAAATTTCTCTGCTAGCTTGCTAACTTTGTAACGGGTAGGTAAACTCAAGATTTATGAACAGAAATATTTTAGGACCTCGTAATTAGGGGGCCGCGCATGTTAAGTGACGTAAACAATACATGTACTGTCACCGTACTGTTCTAGGCCTGGGATAGTCCTATAAATGTGTCTCAAAATATCGGACTTCCACAGTATAATTATTTTCTATATAAATCATAAAGGCTCTCCTGATCTGGGTGATATCCAAAACTGCTGAACTATAACTTCAAATATTGAAAGTGTAGGACTTTTGTTCCCTAAATATGGCGGTTTAACTATTATTATTAACTGATTTATTGGTACAGTGTACAACATAAATTAGAAAGATGAAATAACAAAACTCTAAAATTGTTATATTCCTTCCAAGTTTATTTTATTTACATTGTAGTACATGATCAAGCATGAAAGTTGGACACTTATCTTGGCTGTTTAAACTTTCTGACACAATCTTTTAAAAAGGGAAAAATAAACAAACAAAATACATGAAAGTTGAAGTTACATCATGTTATTTTGAAGTGACATACAGCAAACAATATGATACATCTGGCATGGTAAAAATATTCAAATGGCATTCGTTACTTTTTTCTGGTAAGAAACATTTGCATATTTGCTTTCAATGCAACTTTTTTGTAGTGTTATTTAGAAATTGCACCCAAAAAGAGATTCTACTGAAAAAAAAACACCATTAAATCAAATAAACATACCTTAAGTACTGCAGTCTCTCACAAAAGTCTTATACATGTACTTAATAAAAAAGTACTTGTTTCACTTAGCACATGTTTGTACCACATTGAAAGCAAATGAAAAATACCAACATCTTATTTTCTGAGCTAAATCACCATCGAATTTGCAAATACAATGACATTTTATTTTTAAAAAAAAATCATCGTTCTTAAGTGCATAAGATATTTCACAATAACGTTTCAAAACAAATATTTTAAGGTGTAAAAATATATATATTTATTGTATTGTATTACATTAATATCGTTTTATGAATACAAAATGCTACATGAGAAAATGCAAAATTTATATTTTAGAGTTACATGTATTGTCATGCTTCAGTTACCATTATGTAAAAGGGCGACACAACTCAACTTTTCACAAGTTATAGAAAATTGATACAGCAATGAACTAAACTCGGATATCCCTGATCTTCCCTGACATAACATGTGAGGATTGTGTACTTTGAAACTCCTGGACCCAGTTACACAGAACTGCTACACAGCAAATATTGCTCGGCAGTATGTGCTTATTAAAAAAAAAGTTGATTACCAGTCACAAGCAAGAATCACAGCGAGACACTGGCTGGTAGCATGTTTGTTTGGTTGGTTTTCTTTCTCTCTTTTTCTGTGCTTTTCCAAGCATGTGGTCTCCATTCGTAGCAAATCTGTGTGCTGAGCACGCCAATAAAAAGAACATTGACTCCGATCGTCATTGGCAAAAAGTAGGGATATTTCAGAAGCATCGCATTTGGTAAAAATTACGAATAGCATTCCACAAACTAACCCAATGTCTAATCCTGTATAGGACACACAGGACAGAATTTTGAAGTACATAGTTACAAAGACACTTGTTTAGGAAATCCTTCATCACAGACATAACACTTGGAACATGCTGCCAACATGTTTCATGTTACAAAGAGAATTATATCAAACAACCCAAATGCGCTTCTTGGCACGCCTAGTGACATTTCCTTCCTTCTGAACTGACCCAACCCAGTGAAATGTTCAGTTCATTAACTTGCAACCTCTCGTGATCATGTCGGGACTCGGATAAGTTAAGAAAGTCGTGGCAATATGGATTGCATACTAACATAATTATGTACATTCCTCTTATTTAGCATCATCCTATTGTTCTGTACAGCACACTAGGGAATACGTGCCCTCGGTATGTGGTAGGGGCAGTTCTATTTAAAAGAGGGCGCAATAATCAACAGCCATTGTCTACCTGTTATAGTATACAAATAATGAATGTTTGTGAGTGCAATGGTAAGAATAATTTCGTGAGGTGACAGATGAAATGTTTCATTCCATGAGGCGAAGCCGAGTGGAATAGAACATTTCATCCGTCACCGAATGAAATTATTCTTTCCATTGCACGAACATGAAACATTCATTATTTGTTTTATATAACACCTGAATAAAACCACGTCATCTGATTGGATGACTTTTAATAGCCTATTTATTCAGGTTAAAAACTGTTCATACTTTGTGGAAATGTGAATGTGAGAGAAATATGATATCACAAAAAATTCTCAAACAAAATCCACTGGCATTGACAAATGTTCAACTTCTGTGAATTTACAGAGTGAAGTCGCCCAATGATGTCACGAATCTGCAGTTGCATTAAATTCTGCACGGAGTATGAGTCACCATTTAGTAAGCTTGGCTGGAAGTGCTTGCAAGTCAAAGTAAAAAGATAGTTCCAAGACTGCTAACCCTTTTAGCCCAAGCATTTCCCTGCTAATTACAGCGCAAAAAGCCACATCTTTTACTATCTTACAATTTCAATCTGTGTCTCGCATACAACGTACACGTACATCTGTACCAGAAAGACGGTTATTCTACTTGTAGATTCAACTATGATATTGAGCTACACTAAAACTGTGACAGGACTGAGTACACATCCTAACTAGTTCATTTCCAATACACATACAAAACAAAACAATGGCAATCTTTGCATAATTAATTACAGCAGTTTTACATACGGATATTGGAGTAACCGACTGTGTACACCCGTTCCGATATTTGGCTTTCTGTATTACTGATATAGTTACAATATTGTACAAGGCACAGAATAAAAGATTGGTCGCACCATTTAAAAGGTAAAAAGTTGTACGAGAGTAAAGACCAACTGCCATTAAGACTGTGATCAGGCAAGGTATATGAGATATGCCAGAGTTGTTAATCAGAAGTTAATGCACAAGGCATGACACAAGTAACCACGTATAGACAATGCAAAGGAATGCCATTTGTCCTAGTTCATTGGAAAAGCTTGTCACTTGACTTAAAACTGGATGGTTTGTGATTGGCATGTTAGCAACTCTGTTCTTTGCAAGGTACAGCAACACACATCTGAGTTGGAAAAACAATAAAAACATTTCAAATGAAGTACATGTGAACTTTCCAGTACAACAAAAATTCTTGGTTACATTTAATTTGTTATTATTCTGAGTACTGCGGTCAAAAGCATAAAACACCATACATGCAAAGAGGTAATAACCTCATTACCCAATTTTTGAAGAAGTACTTTGCCTTCTTAAAGAGAACAGTTATAAGTACTTTTGTTAAATCTGTGTAGTTTGCTGGCAAATCTCTATTTTCTGCTTGATACAAGCACATATTGGAGAATTTTGTATCTTATTTACAACTATTAAATGCTAAAATTATGTAGCCGCCTACAAAACAATTGCTGAAAGCACAACAAACTGAACTTAAAATATCAAGCTCCCGTTCTCAGACAGGAAAACATGATCACTATTAAGCATGGCAGTGATTTCAAAATCATAAAAATCAAAATTGCAACCATTTAAGGGCAATATAAATGCTCTAATCATTTCCAAATAAATCTGGCAGCTTTGCTTATAAGTATCATTGCAAATTGTGCATCTTTGGGTTTGCATGTCTCCCAACATAATGTTAAGTGGTAGTCATTTATTTACAGTTGAATATTATGTACACAACTTTACTTAACCCCTTCTCACTGACTGAAAGCTATAGAGTACCAGAGTGAATACATCACGTGCACAATTGTGTGTGTAAAAGACATTAGCGTGTGATTCAGCCCGTAAACCAACATGTGCGCACACACTCCATTCGTTCACTACACTCCACTCATGCACTACACTTCCCGGTTCAAAATGACGTCAGACTTTGGTACTCTATAGCCGCAGACCAGTAGTATGCCGACATATGCCGTCTGTGGGCAGCTGCTACTGTGCAGTGCCCCTACTACTGCTACTGCCCAGAGGCTACTGGGCAGTGAGGCATAAAAACCCAGTGACAAGGGGTTAAATCAGGAAAATAGAGACAAGGTAAAATACATGTATGGACTCTGTGGATAAACAGTATTTTGTGACCTCTTTTGACAGCCCGGTCGCTGTGACACACCGCATGCGTGCACTGGTTTGAGCACGTATGGTGCGAAGTACGCACAACAAATTCGATTCTGGATGAGCACACTCCTGTGCTGTCTTCGCGTGAGCATCAGACGTCTTACGCAATGCGTTCAAGAGTCCCTGCAGTGGTCTTCCCCGACTCTCCCTTTGTATTACCAGTGATGACGGGGTACTAGTGCACAGGGTCAGTAACTATGGTAGATTCCCCCAAAACCGAATCCTTGTTAAATGGCACCAGTACTGTAGAGCCAGCTTACATATAACTGACATCCCAACCTTTGATATTTGGATTTTGCCATTCACCAGCGTAACTTTATAAGTACTGTGCAGCTTAGGACTTGTGAACAAAAAAATTCACAAAGTTACTTCAATGGGCTCGACCCAATTTTGCTGGTGTGCGAAGAATGTGGTTTGTTGAGCGAGTACTTTGAATTAGCGGGAGAAAACGAGTGAATGACAAATGAACAAATCTTTGCAGCAGGACATAGACTCGGAAACTGTAATGGGAAATTTTCCAGTATACCTTTTTGACCAGTAACTCAACAAGCGTCAGTGCATAGAGGTTCATTCCTGCTGCCCCATGTTACATGTTAGTATGGACCAATCAGGGTACGTGATCACTGTACATGTACACCCACAAAGCCCCCTTCAATGGAGATTGCACAAAGCAACTGCCCTGTGTCGGATTGCCTGAGCAATAGCTTACACAGTGCTTTTGCCATTGACAGGGGCCTCCGTGATAGCTTGCAAGGTGGTCTATATATGCTGCCGAAGGCGTGACTTCACTCGGAGGTCATTCCAGTGCAACCATGGTTATCAGTTCAAGCAAACTGCTAGTGGCCAACATGAACACAGTCGTCTGGGAAGCAAAATACGTGCGACTGCCATTGTAATGGTGCGGTGACAAGTAGGGTATAATATTGTGACCATGTGTGTTGAATGTGCATGTAATGTGTCATTAAAGCTACAGTCCATTATTTGCAGCTATACGAAAAGAAACTGGTATAATTATTGTTGAAAAAACATACTTGGTTGAAAGATAGTAAGGGGACTAAACTCCCTGTGAAATTATTCTTTCTGGCAAGCTGTCATTTTGAAGTAATCAATGAAAGAAGGCCTTTCCAACGGTGCTTTGTAAGACGCATCGTAGGAAATTTAAATTAGTAGTTCGTTTTGTTATTCGGCGAATTGCGCGCGCAAGCATTGGCACGACGCACACGCACGCGCGGTTGCTATAATTCGTTGGATCAGTGCGCAGAATGTGTCTCGGACACTGAATTCAGGCCCAGTTCAAAACATGATTCAGCAACTTTTGATTTGAAATTGAGATCCTAGAATGCTGTTTTTAGTCTCGGAATATACAGCTGAAGCTGAGCTGAAACTTCATCAGGTTAGTTGTTCAGTACCCTTCTTTAGATTTTGAGCACTTTTGTTGCTTCAAACGAACAAAATGCACAACTTACAAATGATGGACTATATCTTTAAGGAATGCGCATGACCTGGGGAGGAGGTGATGTCACCCTTCGTCAGCGTATAAATGTCAGACTCGGGGAAAAAGGAGTGACACAACATGCAGGTACAACAAAAAAAGCTTGCTTAAACTTACAGGATAAACCTAAGACTTCCTAAGTACTGTGCTGGGGAGATTACATGTATAACATTAACCCGTCCAGTGAACTGTCCGATGACAAGTGATAGATACAATACATGTACAACACTAAACTGAAAATCTATTAATGCTACTGTACATGATGCCTGCACTGCTGCGTAAGTGCAGCTTGGGTATCAAAAAGCTACAACACCTATCGTGTTTTTTTTGGTATTTTTTTTTTTTTTTTTTTTTCCTCTGTTTTTTTTTCCCTACAGGATGAAACTTGACTTAAATTCTTCAATTCATTCGATTCAGATTAAAATTTTATTATAAAATTACTTTTTAAAGAAAAAAACATCATATAAAAATTGCTTAAAAATATATACATTTTTACCCCATAAAAAAAAGTCTTGTTCTTGTCTAGCTTGTCTTTGGGCACTGCCAGTAGTGAATATAGCAAACTCTTTGTGCACTGCCATCATCTCCCGAACACCTACAACGATAAGTGATGGCTGAGCCTGTTGTGTCCACCATCAAGTTGGCTAAAGTTCCACCAGTGGTTGCACACGCTACTCCAGTGATGATCTTATCCTAAGCACAAAAAGAGGAGAAAGAAGCACGGACTATGGTAAATTTTAACTTTCTTCTCAGAAGCACATTTCTTTTACAGATACCCCCTTTGAGGCTGGTGTTCCAGAGTCGAATAACGCCAAATCTTTCTTAAGATTTGAATTTCCAGCATCTTGTCAACAGGAAATTTGTGCATAAAGTTTGCCCATTTGAAAACCAAAATGTACTAGGGTGGACCCGAGTCACTTCTTACACCATTCAGTTCATCGCAAAACTGGTACTCCAGACTGAAACTTGTGTTAGGGACAAGACCAAAAACATTTTTCCCGTCCTGATGCGTCCGAACGGGAAGGAACGCCCCTATTCTTCATATTCTTCCCGTTCCCATTCTGCACACATTCCTGTTTGCATCAATACAGTAGCACAGTCATGGTGCGTGTGCACGTTTTGTGATGTACACTTGAACTCCCTTGAACGACGGGGCGCATCACTTAACATAACAAATGCACAGTACAATAGAGCACAAGCATATTTGTTGGCAAACACAGAATTTGCTGACAGGTGGATGATTTTGCCGGCAAGATCACCTAATTGCAAGGGGGGGGGGAGGTGGTGGGTAAAGGACACAGGAACTAGTAAATGTTAAGGTCCCAATAGATCACGTACCGATGGTGTAGTGACCAGCCGGCTGAAGGTGGCACCTACAGAAGTGTCAGTTGAGGTAGAGAATTCCTGGTGATCACACATGGAGAGGTCTCCTGCCCCCGGCTGGCCTGGTGGGCCTTGCTGTCCCGGCGCCCCGTCCGTCCCGTTCAACCCCCGAGGGCCTTGCATCTTGCTGATGGTGTCCAGCTCGCCGTAAATGGTGCGGTTCACCTGTGACAGGTCCAGGTCAAACTTTTGCCGGAGGTTGGATATTTCTTGCTCCGCAGTGCTGATCTGTTGCACGTACCAACAAAACAGAGAGCAATGAGAAAGTTTGGTGAAACCACTACAGCATACAAATATAACATGGTTTGAGGGTGGACAGTCGATATTCGCTAGGTTGTCAACGTATCGACTGTCCACCCGAAATAAACCATGTTCCATTGTATATTTGTTTTACAATGCCTCATACATATTCAGTTGCCAATTTTCCCGTTGCAGTATGCACCTCGCGGGCCTAAAATCTAAAAAACTTGTCCAGCTCACCAGAAGAATATTATTTGCTCAACCTCAGAAAATTTCAGTTCGTTTGCAATACAGTTACTACTGTTGTCAATACAGTTGTTTGTGGACATTTTTTTTTAGTACAGAACGCATCTTTTTTGTCCACAATACTCGCCAGTTCGGCATCATTGAGCTCGGAAAACGCTAATTAACATTTACGTGTGCAATCATCTTTTCGTGTGTAGCTAGGACGATGTTCGCGTGTGAGTACTTTACCCGAGCAACAGTTCCACGATTGCTTCGTAAAGCGCATGCGTCAGTCTACTTCACACGCGTATGTACCTTGTGCATGAATGGTCGCGTGCGTGCTTGGTAAACAGCAAAAATAGCATGGCACGTGATTGCAAATGGCCTGAGAATTCGGCTTTCGATCATGAATATATATGAGGTATAGTAACAAACTATGGTTATACATTTAGGTTAAGACATTTATGGTTAAGACATTTAGGGATTCTATCAACAATTTGCAGCTGACTTTTTTTGTTTTTAAGTGTCTTCTTTTTTTAAAGCTAATTACTTTAGACATTGACAGAGAAGGTTTGAATTTCAAACAGAAGTTACTTACAGCTGTGCTTTGTCCTGTGTTTGTGTTCTCATTGGTAGTGATGCGCATGCCCTGTCCAGCAACCAAGGCCGTAAGGCTCCTCATCTAAAGTTTGGGGAAAAATGCAAATGAAAACATGATTGAAATACTGGTGATGAATACTGGTTTCAGGCTGTATACCTGTAGGGAGCAGCAGGTAGGAACTGATGGGTGAAGGGAAATCAAGCCTAGCCAATTACAGCACCTGTACTAAATTGTATTACGATATGTTAAATCACTGATGAATCCAAAACACCACAGAGTGCTTGGGCGGCTTCAGACGCTACAGTGAGTAATTGGCAGGGCGCTTTGGGGCGGTAAAGGGACTAAAGTGTTTTTGTACATGTACATATGTAGAGGAGGAGTGGCTGGATTGAACTTTCCTTAATCCATCAAATTCAGCCGGAAACATTTTGGGGAATAGATTTAATGATAGTTTTTAAACTGGTAACAATATGTTGGGTCTGCTTATGTCTTAGACTTGGTGCCTAGTTGCTAATTGTACGGTACCGGTTACTGGCTCCACGCACGCAAAATATCGCTGCAATGCGCGTAGTCTGGTTCCCAGACCAAAAGATGCTCACTACTGATGTTCAATTACTGACTTGGCGAATACGTTTTCAATTTTGTACACAACATATGGGTGTATTTTGAATCGCTAGCGAATTCTATGTGAGCACTCTGATTGGTTCAAATTCCAGAACATGTTTTAAGCCGCAACGGCAGATCATTCTCATTGCTCCGAGGGTTTTTACTTTGTGATGTGTAACAATACAAAGTTCATTATTGGGCATACACGACTCAAATAAATCAACTACATGTATATCACAATAAATACATTTTATTTCTATACACAATTGACCAAGCTGAGTGAACTGGTCGTTAAAATGTCACCAGATCTGCAAACATGTCCCTGACGTATTGAGAAGAATTCACCATGTAACGGAATGAATGAGTCCTCTTTTTCATAGCGGTGCGCGATTGGATCTCACCCCAAAAATGCACTGCCTATGTATTGCGCTGCTTGCATACATGTAGGAACAACGATGCGAGAATGTCATCATCAAATCGTTAGATATGTCGCAATCCGGCCGATTACGTACTGGTCTTATACCAGCCGCGCCGATAGAGTTCAACTGAAGTTCACAGACAAATACGACTATCTAACGACTTGTCAACAAGTCTAGTTATGTCTGTGCTTTAGACACAACTCAACAACAGCCATGCACCCTATTGTTTACATTTGAAGCCGTGTGGCTTCGTTGTTATACATATCCTCATCTTAAGCCACTTTCCGCATGGATATTTTCAGTCCATTTTGTCTCCCTTGCACAGTGAGGCCTACAGGTTTGAATAGGCCCAAATATGCAAAGGACACTAAACAGACTAAAAATGCAAAAACGGTTTTAAACTACACGACATGCAACTTACCTGTATGTCTAGCTGCCTGGTGCTATTTTCTAAAGAGGTTGTCTGTGTACCAAGGAAAAATTAAAACACAGTCAAATAAAATGCTGTGTTGAATTCTGCATGTTAAGATGTCACAATTGTCCGCCTTCAAGTTTGTTTCGCAAAACACGCCCCCAAAATAGCACACATTCCTATACCAAAGGATGAATCTAAGGTGAACATGATGCAGGCAATCACATAAAAAGTTAAGCAGCTAATTTTTTTAAACTTGGAAAGGGCACCTATTGATGCTCACTGGGATATTTACATGTAATTAATCCAAGTTGCCTGATTAAATCATCAACTGATATCCTTTCTATTGGCATGAAGAATTGCAGTTAACTTTTGGGGCTTCTTTGGTAGAAACCTCCTTGAATCTTCCAAAATCTACTACCCTGTAGGGGCCCCAAATGACACATTCCTTGTGCTTCATACTTCCATGGGCCATTTAATCAAATCATCAAATCTTCCAAACCTCCACGGGGATATGACAGATTTTGGAGGGTTGAGGTTAAAGGGAAAATACAACATTTGCAAACATCAAAAAATAAAACTACCAAATCATTTTGAAATACCTTGCTGGACTGTTAGTGAATGACAGTGTAAAGCATCCTGTAAAATCATGGCACCTGGTATATAGTCATTTTCAAAAAAAGTGTTATTTTTGTATCAATTTCCAACGCTGATCGGCCGATCAGCGTTGGAAAAAACTGGCTTTTTTTTCAAATACTGGCCCCAATTGACCATCGCACTTGTTTTCAATCGATTACACACACTATGAACGGGTACAAGCCAGATAGACTGGTTCCCTGACCTTACAATTCCCCAATGTATGTAAACTGTTCTGTTTCTTCTTCAATGGAGTCAGGGAACCAGACTACAGGAAAATGATTGTTTTTCTTGGTTTTTAAAGCATTTTTGAACCCAAAACCTCAAAAAAGTCAGTGTAACTATATTTGCTATATATTTCCAACCCCCCAATTCCATCCATTTCTGAAAATTACAGCAAAAGCAAATGATGTATATTCCCTTCAATGAAAATCACTGCGGAAGACCAAAATGTACATTCACTTACTCTTCCCTTGGTGGCCTCCAAACTATTGATGGTATTAGACTGGGTAGCCTGGAGCAAAGCAACTGTTCCCGTGGGACCGTCCAGAGTAATGACCCTGCTTTCTAAACCATCAATCTGGGGGGTAATAGAACAGAAAAACAGCATGAAGTGAAATGAGAGAACACAGCAAGTTTCCTGAAGCCAGAGACTCATCTATGTCATGTTAGCCCTTTAGTTAACACACTGGCCATAGGCAGCGAGAACTGAAATTCATCTACAGCACCATACAGAAATGTTTGTAGGACTGGAGTCCATCTCGAGTCGCAATTTCGGTGACTCGGACTCGACTCAAAAAATGACCTTTTCTAAACGAAATTCTGATGTTCATTTTCTGAAAGTAACGTTAAAGCAACAAAGCAACGCAAAGAACGTTGAGCACACCAACCATACAGCACTACTCTCCAGGAAGTGTTTGTTATTAAAGGCGCCCTCCCTATTCCCACGACAGCACATCACTTTCACATCGTTTACATATACAAGTATGTGTGTCCACATCCATGCAGATCCATATCGTGCAAATGTAACCCAGACTCAGGTGTGAACAAAATGACTCAAGCTTCAGACTCGGACTTGACCCAAATGACTTGTGAGACTCGGGACTCGACTCAAGAGACTCAACTCATTGCCATACAGCCAGCAAAATCAACCATCTGTCGAAACAACAGTAATCCAATCAGTCACGTCATTTTAGTTGGGACAGCCACATTATTTGCCTCATAACACACATCTGACTAATTTCATGAAGGTACATGTACTTGTGTTTGGGATACCTGCCCCACAGCAAAGTGACATATTATGGGCACATAGTTCATGGACGATCCGTCACATTGTAGTCTTGCAAAAATGTCACTTCATGATGCACCCAACAAACTGTACAATGTCCGTTGACTGAACGATAATTCAGACAGACTAACCTTTATTGTATTCAAGGCTACTTTGGTACTCAGTGACGCATTGACTTCACTTCCCCCACCAAGCATGGTCTCTAGTGTACCAATCTGTAAACAAATAACAGAAAAACATGAAGATAAACAAATGTTATGTGCAATATGCTGTATCTGTGCACAAGATTGTGGGCAGCAGTTCAACATTTGTATTAAGTGGCCGTCAGCCCTGGATTTAATTTCTTCTACAACACTACATGGAAAATATACACAATATACCGGTACATGTATGATGATATACACACTTACTTAGCATGAGTTAGCAGCAGCATTTTAAATAAATCTCAGAACTGCATTTGTTTACAAGTTCACTCTACCGGTAGTTTTGCTGGACCAAGTCATACAATTCATTTCACTTCTTGTTTTTGCTGGTCGAGAGGGATCAACCTATAGTCCTTTGTGTGCTTGAGTGTCTGACTGACTCACTCACTGACTGCCTGTTAATTGTGAACGAGACTTGCTTTGGTCTCACATTGGCCCAAGAGTTTGAAATAGGATGACCAGTAAGATCAATGAATAGACAAATCCGGCGGTAACTATTTTCTGCGGTAGCGCAAGGCTGAGACGCGCTCAGGTAGTACACATGCACTCCAGGCTCCTTGACCAATAGTAATACCAAAATGCGCGCGTGCCTCGTCTTTAAGAACGCATGCAGCATGCACGCGTGAGTGTGACACCACCACAGTAAAAGCTTCTAATTGTGGTCAGCGGATTCCACTATAGGCTTTATTCATGAGTCGGCTATATTAAATTGAAAGCGAGGTAAAATCTTCATTTCTGGAATTTGCGAACAGAAATGAAAGCAATGAAATAAAGTTCATTACAAAGTAATTCCAGTCTGCTCTGATGATTAATTAGTTTAAACTTTGTGATTAAAACACACCGTAATGTTTTAAGCCTCATTTAAGAAAAAAAAATTGAAAGTGAGGCTTGGAACGCAGAAATAGTCTGGCACCATCCCATTCAACAGTCTACAATTTATAAAATACATTCAGGGAACATGATCAAAAATGGCTTCCCTGTGATGGGCTAAATCCATCCCACTGTGCAGGCCGCATGCATGAAGAGACTACCAGTGAATAATCATTCTGAATCCATTGAATGGAATTTTGTGCGCACTGGGAACAGCCTTACTAGATTTGCCTTGCCTTGGTATGTACAGGTTGGTTAAAAAAAAGGACACCCACTTTTGACAGCAATTTTCACCTACTTAATGAACGTATTTGATATATTTTTTCACATAGTGGTAAAGTATAGGCCTTTAACCATGCATGGTGAAAAAAAGCTTAGTAAAAGTCGCAAAAATAGTGATATTATGCTTATTTGAATACAACTCACCAAAATCAGTCTTGTCCACGGGTTATTCTATGTAAATTGGACGTTTTCATAGTTCATACAAATTAAAAAACCTTCCCACCAAAATATATTTTGCCCTGGTAACTTTTATTGAAGCTGTCCAGTTATTCATGTCAGTGTTAAGATCATCTACTCCATGAGCTGTTGGCTTAAGTTCATTGTTGCATAACATTACATAACATAATCAAATGTCATGCCCTTTCAATGTTAAGATGGGCTTCATTGTTAGCGCGTTTTTTTTCAAATGATAATGTTCAAGCATGCATTGGTGCATTTTGTGTTGAGAGCATTTCAATGCCTAAGAGAAAGGTGGTACCTTCATTTATATTTTGATGCTATTAAAGTAACACAACGAAAAGAACAAGAATTTGAAATAGCAATCCTTGTTTGAAGTGTGCTTATATTTTGCCTTCAAATAAAGCTCCGATAGCTGAGCTCAGTCAAGCGAAGGGAATGTATACCTCCGTGGACAAACAAGTTTCGCACATGAAATGTTCAAATTAGCATAGCTCAACAACAAAATGTGCAAATGCAACAATTTTTTCGTCACGTTTGCTTAAAGGCCAGTACTTTAATAGCTACTAATCGACAGTTAAAAGTAATTTTTAAAAATAGGTGAAATTGCTATCAAATGTGGGTGTCCTTTTTTTGTTAACCACCCTGTATCAGAGATGAAACTCGCATATGGCAAAAAAATCGGAAAATAGGCCGAACAAAATACGTGTCCGAAATCTAGGCCGCGCTGCAGTTACACATGTACATGCATGTACAATACACTTCATGCCCAATTTCCGGACACCAACTCCTGCTTTAGTTTCGATTCTAACAAAATTTTACGATGAAAAAAAATGGTCAGTGTTTTCATTGCATAAAATGCCTGAATTACGGTTAGAGTAATGGAGTCATCAATAAAGAAGTTCACTTCTTACTTGAAAAAGTCGAGGGAAAAGTCCGAAAGACAAGGGCACCGTTCATGGTGCTTCAATCATGTCCATGATTCAACCACACAACTCCACTACTCCACTTGCATTCTTACGTGGGGAAAAATCAGGCATTATCGTCTTTCTCTTCCAACAAATGCCAGTGAAATGTTTCGCTAAGGCTCTCTTCGCTATCCTTGAGATAATCATCACGATTTTTAAAGCATTGCATTTTGTACAACTAAATCTGAAACCTCAGAAAATCGCACAACATAATGATCTTATCCTCTGGATTGTTCACAAGGCCACCGGTTCCCGCTAGCAGACGGTACGGTGCGGTACGTACACCGGTACCATTGCATATATTCGCACGCACGTGCGACACAGTGATTTTTCCATGTCGCCTGTCAATGTTTAACCTTTTGTCCAGCCGGAGAAGGCTCCCATCAGTGTTATGCTCTTTGTTTCTACCGTTGAAACACTTAATAACGCCTGGTGAAAGAGATTAAAACTACGTTCGCGATGATTTTAATGTGCCATTTCCATCGACTTTTCATCGACTTTTCTTCGAAATTATGATTGAAATAAAATCAAATTTTGTGGGACACACTGTAAAAAAATCGGAAATTTCGTTGGAAAATTCAAAAAGTCGGATTTCCGATTAAAATCGGAAAAGTTTCATCTCTGCAGTATACATTACATGACAGATTAATGAGAATATCTTACTCTTGCTTGCAAGTCCAAAATCAAGCTTTGTTGTTGCTGTATCATTCTCAGCAACTCATCAGGGACTGAGCCATCCGACCCCGGAGTTGTGGCAGGGGGATCCGTGACTTTGGGCCGCACCTGCGTGTCTGACGAGCCATTGGAAGCTGCAAATTGTTTTCAAAAAGGAAAGTGGTTTGTGGTAAACATTCACTGTCTCCTGACACTTGTAAACCCCAATGACCTAGACGCACACTTGGTATTTGTGTAAGGTCACAATATTGGCAACCAAAGGTGGGACGTTACCGGTAGATGTCTGAAGTGAGATGAAAGCTGCATGCTGTTAGTTTTCTCTTAAATTGTTGGGAGAAACCTCCCTTTAACATGTTTAAGTGGAAAACAACATCGAAAAGATAACAGGCCTAATATATTTCACTGCAAGGCAGATTGTTATTTTTGGACAGTTAACTTAAGTAACATGGTGTCCATTTTCCACTTGTGCATTTTTCTGCAAGTATCAAACAAGGCAATTGTGGGCTTCTTGTAAGTCTTGTCAAGTAATCTATTACTATTAAAATCAGATTGTCGGAAAAAGCTTGAGGAGAAGTGGGTTTATTCACTAATAAGTAGACACTGTAACTAACGTTAAGTGAACGCTGGAACTACAGTGTAACCTTAAACTGGTGTGCTCTGATGTTTAAAAGAGTAAAAAAAAGGCAAAAGCATTTGGCAATAGAAACATCTAAATTGACTGTTCTTGTCAAGTAATGTTATTGTTATTATCAAGCTGCCTGCAGTTTATGAGAAAAATTAAATTAAGTTTAACGTTAGCTACTCCGTCCACTTAACGTTAGTCACACTCAACGTAAAGAATATTGCAGGGGCTGTACATTGTAAATTTGTAATTCAGTATTTAAAACAAAGTATTTCGGGGGAGTAAGAATAGATACATGTAATTAGGTTTCCTAAAATGAGAATACTTGGAAAAATCCCCCTCCCCTAAAAGGGTGTTCCCCAATCTAACTCTTTTAACTTCTTTTAAAAGAAAAATGAATAAAAATGGGTTCCAGTTTTTCAGTTGAGGTAAAAATGGACAAATGATGGACCCCCAAATACACCCAAAAGACCAAACAAATACACACACAATCCATTCATACCTGGCGTCTCTATTTTGCCTAACATGATGAGCACCACAGCGATGATGACCACAGCGACTAAGACAAAGATGAAGACAGTGGTGATGGGATGACGCAAACATCTAACAGGGAAACTACGGCCTTGACCCTTGGAGGAGGAAGGGGCCTTGGGGCCACTCCTCTGGTACCCCTCCTTGCTCGTGGTGATCTTCTCCATGGGACCCTCATAGCGATCATAGATTGGGTTGACTTTCTTTCTGCAGATAAACAAACATGAGAAAATAAAAAGCACTGTCAGATTATAGTTCTGAGCTCGGTAACGGTTCAAATATTATGGTCACATCCTTGTCAAGGGGAGGTTGCAGCAGTATTAACCCTTTCCTCACCATGGGCAACTTTTGTCCACAAGGAACTACGCCCGTGCTGCTTACCAAAGGCGACTTTAGTCGACCAAGAAACCACACAAAGAACACCCTCAACACAGATTTATTCACTGCTTTTTAACAAGCTAGCATATTGGTACATTTGGCCACCCATAAATACCAGCTGAAAGAGTGTTTTCGGATATTTACAAAAATGTAAGAAAAGTGCTTCCGAAGTATGTCCACGCACAATTTGAGGTATGGAGTGCCTTTTGGTGATGTGGTGAAATGGCAATTGCAGTTTCATCATGTTCTTGGGACCAGATAAAAAAAAAAGGCATAACTTTCTTATTTTGCACATACGACTTTGATTTGTACATCACACAAAAGAGTAAGGCTCAAGGAACAAACTTTACACGTAACATATTTGATTTTAGTCGCTCCTTGACAGTGAAAATCAGGGTAGATAAAGTGAGTTTTCAACTTGTGGTCCATTTTCCACGCTCTAGTGATTTCCGCATGACCGAGCAAACAATTTGGTTCTGGGGAGAGCCAAGTCAATTAACAATGCGGTAAGGAAAGAAGTCAAGTTCTCATAAGTCAATTTCATGTCAGTCACAAATCCTTCTATCTCAAGAGCAGTAGCAAGTCACGTGTCATCCGTTGTTTTTGTCCATCCCTTGATGTAACCTTACTTGTGATTAAATTTTTGATAGAATCTCCAGCAAGCATCACAGTTGCTGAAATCTGATCATTAAAAATCTCTAAAAATGTTTGCTTTTTTTCAGCTGTTTTTGACATAATCAACACAGTACAGCAAGGTGTACATAGTATGTAAACCATCAAAGGTGAAACTATAAAATATATTGCCTTTGACTTTCAGTTAATTTGCTTTGCAAAGTTTCACTGTACATGTACATGTTAAATCATATTTGGTTTTTTTGCCAGTCATAACAAACATTATTGTTTCCATAAATAGGTCAACATCATATGATCCAGGATGTGGAGTTGGCAACGTTTCGTACATCATGCCATTCCGGCTCAACAAAACTATACAGTCATTTACAACCCAGGCCTCTTCACAATCCTCTGTCTGCATAGGATGTGGTATTGCCCTGGTGTATATTTTTGTTCTGGGTGGTACATTTACAGTACAGGTACATCCTTTTTCAACGAAAAGAAAAAGGGAACAAAAAACAAAAAAACAATGGCAACAACGAATGAATAATACTCAGTCACCCAAAATTTGGGAACGTACGTACATGTATGTGCATATATTGTACATTATATTGTTTTTCACATTGAGTACAAATCAACGGATGTATCATCGAGCAACTGGACAAATACCGGTACCTTTATCTTGGCCATACAATCACGCAAGATGGGCGTTGTGAAACAGAGATAAGAAAGAGAATTGGCATAGCGAACAAAATCTTTTTGAATAGGCAAGTCTTACTTTCAGGCAGAAAGTTAAACCTCAAATTAAGGAAACACTTGTTGAGATGCTACTTCATCTCAAAACTGATCAATGTATGCGGCAGAAACCTGGACTATACATCAAGAATCTATCAAAAGACTGGAAGCACTAGAAATGGGGTTTTACAGAAAAATGCTGACAATGTCCTACAAAGTCACAAATGAAGAGGTTCTGGACAAAGTAAACATGAAAAGAACAGTAATGAATGACAATTAAAAACAAAGAAAGCTACAGTATTTTGGTCACACAATCCAAGCCGATCTATAGTCATCAGAGGCCAGCTCGAAAGGTGGAAGGAAGCGGAAGAGAGGACGCCCCAGACACAAGTGGACAACAGACATCTTAGAGTGGAGCGGCTGAGATGTATGAGGGATGTGTGAGAGCAGCGCAGAACCGACTGGACAAGGCTGGAGATCTCTGATTGCCCACCTGCTGGCAAGCGGAAGGCACCACGACTAACTGACATGGTACCTGTACAAGCACATGTACACGTGGATGGTGTACATGTACATGTACAAAATGTATATCCTGTACAAGTACAGGTACATACATGTACATGTACTGTGAAAGCAATACATGTATATACGTGACGTGTACAATTGTACATGTACATGTATTAGTAGGCCTGCCATCTTAAGATACTTATTTCAAGCAGACAGACACAAGCAAAAACATAATCTTCAGACCGTCTGCGTACATTTGCCATACATGTACATGTACATACATGTACATGGCAAATGTGCATGCAGACGGTCTGAAGACTGTTTTACATGTACCGGGTACTGACACCATCCTTCCTAGAAAATTTGATTCCTGAAACCACATCCTCACAACATCAATAGAGAACGGCTGGAGGCCACTGAATTTTAGTGGATTTGAAATAAAAGAAAAATGCCTGCATTGGGAACATATCCCATGAATTGATCAAGTCAAACAATGAACACAGCGGTCACCAAGATGGGGTGCCACAAGTACAAATTACATGTGCTATACATGTAGTATTGCACTTGCATCCGTGCACTGTAGTTATTAGCAGATGTAATAAATATAGTAACCATCACTGAAACAATTGAATTACTGAATGATGTACAGTGATTTGTTCACATACAATGTATGTGTATGGTACTTCATGTACAGGTATTAAGAGAGAAATTTAGGGCCGGAATTACCAGTACATGCACTATCATCAAATAATAATGTTTCATAATGTTTCCATTGGAAATCACTTTTAAAAACCTATTCTAAAACCCAATTACCAGTACCTTCTTCAAACAAAACCACAAAAACTGATTTCAATGATTTCATCTTAAACCTAAACTAGACTTTCACTTGCTCTCTGTCCTACCTTGGTTTGGGGATTTCCTTCAATTTCACTTGAAGTTTATCCGGGAAAAAGAAAGTTGTGGCATAAGTTGGCTCCTCCATATTTAGAGACACACCAGGACAAAGCTGACCCTATAAAACTGTGTCTACATACATGTACATGTAGATCAAAGTACACTATGCCAAAGCAGTTGCCAACGGGGTGGTTTTTCTTACTTCCTCAAGTTTCAAAATCTCCTCGCAGGCATGTACAGTATATTATACCAGTATGTGTCCAAGATGAAATGTCTTTCCTCAAACGAAGCTTTAAGCAACTCTTAATGCCAAGTTCCGTGAATTGCTCTAAATCACATTTAACTGTACCATACATTAGTTTACGTCATCAAGCACATCCTGTTGAGAAATGCTGGAAGTTACTGGTAGTCCCCGTCTCCAAAAAACTGAGCAAATGATGGGAAATTCAGCTGTTGCCACCTACTGATGTGACTGCATTATGGCCAAGCTACCCAAGCATAGATAATCGGTCTTTGGGGCAAGGTCTTTGCCAATCTAGATCCCGTGGGGATTTATATTAAAAAAGTTAGGTTGCCAGTCCAAATAAATAACTGTGCTTAGCCCTATGGCTGATAGAAGTTCTATAAGGGGGTATAGGATGGCCTTCCAATGACAGACAGGTCGAAGGTTCTGGTTTTCAATTGGTTCATGGCTGGTCAGTAGTCAGATGCTTTTGTTTAAGTTGAAGTGTTTAATATAATTGTAAATTAAAATGAGGAGTTATTTTGTCGTTTACTGCACTTGAAGTTCACACATTCTAGTATTAGGTACTGTACAAGTATATGGAAATAATTATGGAAGGAGTTTAAGAAATTACGCATTACAAACAATCATCTCCCCACCGAAAAGTTGTATTTCGTTTGCAAATTGTAAAATAAGTCCTAGGCACTCCAAGCAAGAATCAAATTGAATAAGTTGAGAGCTACATGTAATGGACCAAATTCAATTTTTTTGGAACTTTTTAAGAAGGGTAAAAAATGGGTGTGGTCAGGACTTAAACTCCCGACAACTGTACATGTACATTTTGTTTTAAATACACATGAAAACTTACATACTATGTACAGGAAACCCCTCTTTAACTGTGGCTCACAAATGGGAATGACATTTGCTACAAAAGAATTGCCAGGGATCATTGTTCCTTAAAGGGAATTACAACATTTGCAAACATCAAAAACACAACTACCAAAATATTATGAAATACCTTACTGGACTGTTAGTGAACAACAGTCTAAAGCATCCTGGTGTGCTGTCATTTTCAAGAAAATTGTATTTTTGTATTAAGTTCCCTGACCTTACAATTCCCTGATGTCTATAAATTGCTCCATTTCAATTTAAGTGGGGTCAGGGAACCAGACTACAACTTCAAGAACATGACTGTTTTTCTTGGTTGTTTTTTTCCCAGCATCTACGAACACAGAACTTCAAACAAGACAGTGTAACAATACATGTATTACTGACCCCCCAATCCATCCATTTCTGAAAATTACAGCAAAGGCAAATATTGTATATTCCCTTTAAAATCATAGAGTGGTTTGTTTTATTTCTGTAATGTCATCTTTCCTTGAAATCTAAATCCAGGTCAACATTCACATGACAAGCAATGTGTGTAAAAGTAAAAGCAACCAAGGAGGACAACAATGCTGGTTTATGAAAGTGAAAGTTAACAATGTGAGACAAAAAAAGCACTTCCAAGGAAAACCCACTGTGCCCCCTCAAAAATACTGAAGGTAATTTGAGGCATGATTTCAAACGTCTTTGGGGATTTCTGTGTCAAGTTGTCATAAATTAGTCTGAACTCGTATCACCTGTCATCCACGGTGCCCTATCACTGGTCGAACGTCTGACATCTCCTGACATGCAAATTTATGCAAGCCATGCGCCAGCCAATCGGAGTTGACTTTACTAAATCGTGATGTCATTTCATTCCTGAATCAGGACTAACGCTGTGATTGGTCAATTCCAATGCAGTGTTTTGTAACACAACAACAACCGGGAGCGCATTCGCGTAACATGATACCGAGTGCTGTGCGCCGTGACAGTT